AGGCAGGCACCCCACTGATTCCTTGCTTCCTCTTGTACCCCAGGAAACTGGTGTTCATACAGCTCTCTGCAAACACAAGGGTAACAGTGACTAGCAGCAGCAGCCTGGGGAGTTTGCAGGGTACAAGGAAGGGGTGCAGTCAATTGGATTTGGATTTGGCTTCCTGGGACAGAGAAGGAACTTGAGGTCAAGAATGCAACACAGTGGCCACCCTTTAAGGACATCATCTTCAAGATGCCTCTCTCAAGGAGGGGCTAGTTCAAGTGAATTTGGAAATCAGCATTTGGCCCTTTTTGGAAGAGAAAGGAATTTTATTAGCACTGTCTGCCCTTTCCCTCTCATATCTGACAATCCCTAGCAAATAGGAAAGTCTTTGTGTCTAACCTGAGCCTTTCCTGCTCTGAATGGAAACTGTAATTAGTGGTTGTAACCGATATACCTACAGTACTCTCTATATCTGGATAAATATTTTTTCCCCATCAGTTCACTTTCTCAAACTTCATGGTATGCTCCTTTTATTGAGAAGCAAGGCCTGAGAGGTCAGAGGTAAGCCTCTCCCAGGCTCCTCGGAAGTCAAGAAGTTCTCTTTAAAGGTTGGTCAGACAGAGGCTCTCACTGTGTAGTGTCCTTGGTCAGGGTTGGAAGGATGAGGCTCATAGCTCTGGCACCTTCCCACCAATTGTAAGGATAGCTTGAAAGCCTCTTTATCTCCCTCTGTGAGTGGCCAGGCTGAGAAAGGAACTGTGCCCATTGCTGAAGCCTGGTTATTAGGAAAATAACCTGGCAGGGTGGGGACAGTAGGGTGGGCCCTTCATTGTCAGAAGCTGTTTTAGTTCCTGCCCCCTGAAATCAGGAGTGTCCCAAGCCCAGCTTTGCCTGCGTGGGTCTCATATACCACCGATGTGGGTAGAGGAAATATCTATTGTGCATGAGCACCCTAGAAGATTGAAACAGGTAGTGGAGCTGGGTCATGGCCTGTTAGGAAGATGGCCCTGGGAGGAGTGGAGGGACAGCACAACAGGGAATAATGGACCCAGCTGGGAAGGAGATCGAGTACTGGACTTGTGGGAAAGGTAGAGGAGATTGACTACCTTGTCAGGGAGTGTGGTGGGAGAAGCCACGAGGCCCAGGGAGATCTCCCCAATTAGGGATGTGTAGTAAGAACCTCTGAGACATGATAACTGTGGTGTGGTCATGCCCGCTCTAGCCTTTGCATCAGTCACATCTGCATGTGTGATGTACTTCCCACACAGCTGTGTGGGGGAAGCAACCCCCCCTCCTTTCGAATGCAATGGGATATTAAGCCTTCAAAAGGAAGGGCTGGGCTGTGGGAAGAGGAGTGCACTGAGCCATGGGACAACCTGGCATTCCCTTTCTCAAGGGTAGGAAGGCAGGACAGCCATGGGCTAGAGTCCCACAAACACTAACTGTGGCCTGGCTCGGGTCAGTGGCTGTCTTCCAGCAACATTGCTAGCCTGGTCTCTGGCTCTCCCTGTCCCTGGATGGGTGTTCTCAGCTCTCTTAATCCTGCTGTCCTCTGTCTGTCACTAGGCAAGAATGCATGGCTCTCCCGAAGCATTTGGTGCTTAATAATTTGTGGATTACAGCTAACTCTCGATAAAGATTCCCCTAATTGCTTGGCTCACCTCAGGTTCTATCATCAAAGCGAAGTGGCGAGGCCCCCCTCTCACCCTCCTTTTCTTTTTATTATCTCTTAATTAATCACTCTGGCTTTCACACTTAGCAGATAATTACAGTCTCCTGGGCACGAAGCTCATTTTCATAACCTCCTGCTCCAAGCCTGCAGCAGCAGCAGCATGGAGGGGGTGAGAAGGAAGAGGGAGAGAGGGGAGAGCAGATAGACACATGCTGGAGGAAGGGGGGGGAGGAGGCAGCAAGCCAGACAGGTGAAGAAAGGGACAGGGAAGGAGCAGCAAGAGGGACATGTGGATTGGGGAGGGGCACACAGGATCAGGGCCCTGCCAGTGGGCAGAAGGTTGGTGACGCCTGGGGAAACTTCCTCCAGTGACAGTTTTTCTCCACTGAGTTATTATAGTGTAGATCCCTTCACTTGCCCTGGGGCACAGCAGATGAGATGTGCATTGCCTCAAAGCTTAGGGGTAACTATAGAGGAATCTGAATGTGGTCTATTCTCTCTGAAAAGTGGGAACAACTGAAATGGTTGTGACATGGCTGTGACTGGGAAGCCAGAGGTAAGAACTCTTATCTACTCTTTTGTAAGAGCAGGGCATACCCTAGGGTTTGAAGCTGTGGGAATGAACAGCCAGTGGCCATTTAATAGTATAGCCAGATGGAGGGAAAGGCCAGGCATTCTCTCATCACCTTCACTTGGGGACTGTACCTTATGGCTCCCAATATGTTAACTACCCCATTTTTAGAGATGAGAAGGATCTTCCTGGGTTCTGCTGAGTTCAGGAAGGGTGACCAGTTGTCCCAAACTACATGAATTTAAGTCCAGGTCTGACAGCAGGGTTAGAGTACAAGGGGGGTGGAGGAGGGAGTGACCCTGTGCCTATGGAGGCCTCTGGACCAAAGGCCACGGCATGACCATCGGGTTTTCCTTGCACCTCTGACTCCTAGATAAATAAACGATACACATTCAGATGGCAGACATGAGAGGCAGTGAATCTGATGTGGAATTGGACTGAGACACAAGTCTCTGACATGAGTTCCCTATCTGGCCCTCGTTTTGTTCCTTGACAAGTCGCACACTTACTGCTGCCCTATTCACGAGAGCAGAAAATTTCAACCGACCTGGTTGTCCATCAACCGATGAATAGATAATGAAAATTTGTTACCTATAGAAAATAAAGTATTACTCAGCTGTAGAGAAAAGAGAAGTTAAAAACTTTGCAGGACAAAGGAGGGGCTTAGAATGCATAATGTCTAAGTGAGTCTACACAACTGAAAGAAGAAATAAACCACATTTTATTTCTTATATCAGAATATATATATATATATATATATATATATATATAGTTTCCAGCCAAATATATATACACATGTATGCATACATTTATATAAACAAATAGTCATGTGGGTATAGTATAACTGAAGAAAAGGGAACAAAAAAGGCTAAATATAAGGGGATGAAAAAGACACCAATGCAGGTAGGGGGCACAAATTATGAAAGAGACTATAAAGTCAATTGTTTTTCTCTTTCAAATTCTGTTGTATATTTGGGGGGGGTTGGTGTGGCTAAGTCCATGAAATATAGTAGATCCTGAAAGTGTAAAATTGAATGTGAAACTTGACAGTGTCTGCTTCAAATGCCAATTCTAACTCTAAGTTCATTAAGTTATGTGGACTTGGGGTCTGGTTAATTTTGGCGTGTGATGTTTTTATTTATTTGCAAGTCTTTTATATAATAAAATTTATGTAAAACCAAGCAAAGCCTCAAAATTGAGTCTCTGTGGCCTGGGCTTCAGTGGGTCTTGAAGAAGGAGGCTCTACCACAGGGATTCTTTTCCATGAACGTGGTTTGCTGTTCTTGATCTGCAGGTTGAAATGTGTGGGTTTCTACTACTTTGCCATTAGCCAGCATTAACATCTCTCCAAATCTCAGTTTCCTTTTTGGTAAATGAGAATCTTGAAAAGTTTGAGACCATTTTGTTTAACCTCTAGAATAGAGTCTCGGACATGGTAAGGCACTGTTAGCCAGTGACAGCTGCTGTTTATCTCACTGTTGTCCCCATGGAAGAACAACTAGCCTATGCCTAACAAAGGGCAGTGTTGCCCATTCCATTTCTTATAAAGCTGGTAAGAGAGGCCTTCTCCATTTCCTGGTTGGAGGGTGGGATTAAGAGTCTTGTTCTGCACCACTTCCAGGTGTGCCAGTATGCAGAGCCCTGACAGCTTGGCTGCTCAGTCCCACTGCAGTTTTTCTTTTCTCTCCACAAACCAAGCTGTTTGGCTGAGGCTACCCCCCACTCAGCATGTAAGGGCATCAGCTTCAAGTGTCAGGGGCCTGTATAGCAAAAGGTTTATCTTACTGAGTCGAAGAAGGCTTGCAGCTTCTGGCTTCCTGGGCACTATAATAAGAAAAGCTACCTTTGGAGGTGCTGTGGAAATAGCACTGAGCTGTGTGTACTGATGGGGATGTTTAGCCCCACTGTGCCCCTAATGGAGTAACCTTAGTGACTTGGGTTCTCATATCATAAAATGAGGTCATTCATTGTCTAAGACACTTTATTGATGCACAGTTGTCTGGCTGCCATTGGGGGGGGGAGTGCCTCATTGACTGGCCCTGGATCTTCTGTTTGGTTTTGTGAGCCACTGTCAGAAAGCCTAGTCTCAGAGAGCCAGCTAGGGACCCAGGAGGAGCTTTTGCTCAGGACCCAGAGGAGCAGCAGATATGTTAATACATTTTTAGATCTGATATGGGTTTGGGGTAAGATGTTCAGGAACTCCTCAATACGTGTGCATGTATATATACACACACATAGACATACGGAGACATACACACATGCATTCATGCCTACACACCATACACACACCCCACACATATTCCTACACTCCCTCATGCACATCCTCACTGCACACACACTCGTACAAGCCCATCGCAAATACAGATACACGTAAATACTTACCACCCTCCCAGCCCCCCATACTGTCCTAGGAGCAGATGGCCTGACCTGTGTGGGATATAGGGACCCCACTAAGGGTGTGGGTGCTTATGTGTTCATGTTGATAAAATGTTCTCCCTGAAAAAGCATGCTCTGACTTTTCTCTGAACTTTAGCTTTGGTCTATGAAAAGGTTTTGCAGTCTTGTGGGAATATAAACATTTGGCAGATTTCTTTCTCTGAAAGCTATTTCGCCTCTTTTCTTTTTCTGGGAATTTTAACCAGCAAGATCAAGGTCCCTCCACCCATCCTTCCTCTTTCCCCATTGCCTGCAACACCCAACCCCCCTGTCCCTTGAACAAGCCCCCCCCAAATAAAAACAAAGTTAATTGGTGTACACTGGGAATGTCTCAGATCCAGAAGAAAGGAGTGAAGCAAACAGCTCTCCCAAGAGAAAAAACCGTAGGAGAGAAAAGGAAGCAAATGGCATCGTGGTGAGAAGTGAATTCCAGACACTGAAATTCTTTTGGTTTTAATCATCTCAGAGGGCAACCAGAGCTGAGCTGTGGGGGAAGGGAAGAAATGAAAACCAGGGCCATCTACTTCCAGCTTGCAGGACTCTGTGGATACTAAAAGTTTCCTGATGGAGGCTTCTTCGTCTTCCCTGCCAGGACCCTCAGAACCTGGTGTCTACCCCCGCATGAAGCCCAGAGGCTCTTCCTCCCCAGCCCTCCTCCCATTTAGCTCAGTTTACAGGCTCAGTATTCTCAGTTTTAAAGCATTGACCTTTCAGTTTTCCAGCCAAATTGCAAGTTCCCCAAGGCCCAGGATTATGTGTTGTTCAAAACAAAACATAACAAAACAAACAGCAAATAACAAAACAAACAGCAAACTGCAGGCTGCTATAGCTTTCCCTTCATTGGAAAAGTGAAGCGCACGCTCTCCCCCACCCTCTCTCTCATAGGAAGGGAAGGCACAAGAGACCCCAGCACGTGGGAGAGAGATGGAAGGACCATAGAGGCCCGTGGAGTGTGTATGGGGTTTTCTTATGTTCCCTCAGGACCAGCTAGCTGACAGCAGGGAAGCTTGGGATATCGGTGTTTGGGGAGGTTGGGGATGGGGTGTTGGGAGGATGAGGAGGATGTGATTCCAGAGTACTCTCTTCTCCACCAAGGTAACTGTTTGGGTGATGGAGGGAGTCAGGAAATCTTGTGACCAGGACCACGGGGATGCCCATTTGAGGTCACTGGTTGCCAGGTAGCAGCCATCTCTCTTCTAGCCCCCTTTTCCTGTGTTCAGCATCTACTTTCCTTCCAAATGCCCCCCCCCCAGCATCAAGTTCTCTAGTTTTCCTTTTTATCTGAAGGCAGCTCCCCATATGCTCATGGCCACCAGCTGTTTCCCCCTCCTTTTCCATCCTTTCTCCCACTTTTTAAAAACTTTGATTCTTGGGTCTTTGGTCCTTTGCCTCTCCCTTTTTTCTTCTTTTGAGTAGTGTTTACCCATTCTTCTCTCCTGATTGCCCAGGGTATCAGCTTAGAATGGGAGTCAGTCAGACAGGTGACTTTCACCTTGACTTTCCACCTAGGCAAAACTGCTCACTGCTCCAGGGCTTCAGGTTGCTCCGTAGCACATGGGGAACTTGCCAAGTATTGCCTATGATCCAGAATGAACATGTCCTTCCTTTACTCCTGGAAAAAGGAGGAAGGTGGAATTTGGAATCAAATCCAGAAGCTCCCTCCTCCCAGTGTGACCTATGCATGGCACTTCATCTCTTTGTAGAACTGTGCTGTCAACACATAGTGACAGTTGAGACCACATTGATAATCTCTGATGTGATTTTGCTATTCCCATGTGGTCTGTGTCAGTCTTCTTGTTTTGTTGGGTCTAAATATTTAATGATGAAGAGTGATAAAGAGAACCAAGAGGCCTGAGGTTCTGACTGACCTTTTGCAAGTCCCTTTTACAGCTAGAACATGAGTTCATTGCCCCCTACCCCACACCACCCGAGACATAGTCCTTCTTTGTCTTGGTCTTGTATCTATCTACTCCCCAGTACCTGATATTAACACTAGGAAATGTATGTTAGTAAAAAATGTGAATCTAGGGGTAAAACACTTTGGGGTCAGAATGTCACAATGACTTTTAAGTGCCTATAGTTGACCCTTGTTGGGGGACCTTCTCTGTACTGCCTTCTACACACTGAAAGCCAGTGGCATCCCCTCTCTAGGTATGACAGAAAATGGTTCTTCAGATGCTTCCAGAGTGCCCTGTGAAGCAAAGTGGCCCTCACCCAAGGACCACTGAGTTTTCAGGAGAAAAAGTTGGACCAAGAAAAACCTGGCTTCCCAGTCATGAGGTTTCTAAAATTGCCACGTGTCCCTTCCTCCCTTCATGTATCCTTGATCAATATTTCATAAAATTGAGACATTTTAAGTTAATGATGATGGAAGGAAATGTTTTGCCCTCTCATCCATTTTGGAAATGGTAAGCTTCTTGTTTAAACCTTGATTTATCTCCCAATCCATGGTTTGGATTAGCAAGGTGGCAAGCACAGGACCGTGGCACCTCATGGATGAGGCTCTGATGTCTTGTAGAGCCATTGGAAGATCTACCATACCCTTGCTTTAATCGATCAAAAACTGATGGCTGGAGATGTCAGATAATGGTCTCAGATGTCTGTCATGATCTCACCTTCTTACTTGGCACCCTCCCTCCCATCCCCAAAATACCTGCTGAGCCATCTCCCAGGCCTTGGGCACCTTTGGAGTACAGTTTGAAAGCCAAGATTTCATCCAACCCCTGAATGATGCCTGCAGAATGAGAACATGGAGAATAAGGAACTCAAGGCCCAGAACTGCAGGTTTCACCATACATAGCCTTTCTCCCTTCTCAGTAGCCACTACATGCTAGAAAACCAGCTCCTCGGTTCTCCACAGACTACGCTGCTTTATCGTCCCTGTGCAGATCTGAAAGTTGTGTCCAAATGTTGGGTGGTTGGTAGTCTAAGCAGCGTGCTGCCCATATCTGCCAGAGGGAGGGTTTGAGGGCTAGAGAAGAAGGAAATGACAATACCCTAGATATATCCCAGAGAATATGGGTGACCCTGCCCTGGACTAACTGCAGGTCCCCTACCTTCCCCAGATATGCCCATACTTTTCAACCTTTGCCCCCATGCCTCCTAAGGTGCCCAGCTCTTGCTGTCATGGCAACCAGGAGGTTAAGAGCAGTATGGAAGCCCAAAGATGTAGAAGAGGGATTAGACAAGGAGCCTGATGGAAAGAGGAAGTGATAGAACCTGATAAAGAAACAGCCAAGTGGAAAGTGGAAGGCAGCCAAGAAGGTGAAGGGAAGAGGAAATGAGAGGCAAACCTCATCCCTAGAAAGAGGGGGGGGGAAGTGGGGATGGGGAGAAGTCTCAACTTTTATTTAAAATCTGAGAGCAGTTATAAGCCTAGTGTTGTTGCCATAGCAACAGCACAGAAAAGGAGATAGCTTGTAAAAGGGGAGGTGGAAGGAGGAAGATGATTCAATAGAGGTAAATGTTTAAAGACAGGAACAAAAACCATTTACAGATAATTAAGTAACACACTGTGCGTTCTTTAGTCCTGCCTCTATCAGGGGACTGGCCTACGATCTGGCCTACTTCTGGCTAGTGCCTTCCATCCTTTCCCCAGCCCCTGTTCACCAAGAAAACTTCAAAGAGGCAGCCAGGAACGCCAGCCACAGCCACACTATGTCTATCTAGTCCTCTGCCCTCCTGTAGTCCCAGCTCCTCAGAACAAGGTGGAAAATAAAGAAAATAAAATCTTCCTGGATGGAGAGCCTGCCCCAGCCTTTGGATAGCTGGGTTCTTGCCTTGTCTGCCAAAGATCCAAAGGCACAGCATTTATGCCTGGAGGCATGGTTGGGCTGTCTATGATAACACCACCTCTAACTCCTCTGGGAGTGCTCACCTCTGTCCATTTCTGGAAATACTCTCAATGTTCATCCTTAGAGAACCAGGAACCAGGGCAGGGAGTTGTGAATCAAGACCAGATAGCTTTTGCCCCTTCGAGATCTGCCCTGACTGAGCTGAGCATTTGTGCCCAGAATATGACTCTACATGTCAATGTCTTTTTATGAGGATCCTTGGTGGAAGTTCTGTAGTGGTGCTTCTGGTTAGTGTTTATGTATGCGCCCCCCCCCCACACACACACACTCAAAATTGTCTAAATTGGGGCTGGAGAGAAGGCTCATCTGTAAGAGCATTGGCTGTTCTTCTAGAGGACCTGAGTTCAGTTCCCAGTACCCACATGGTAGCTCACAACCATCTGTAGCTCCAGTCCCAGGGATCCGGTGACCTTTGACTCCTGAAGGCACGATGTATGCATGTGATTCACAGACATATATATGCAGATAAAACATATTTTATGTGTAGATCATGTCAGGAATTTTGAATTTTTGCTCTTTGTATTGGCTGCTTAAAATCTAGGGCTAACCCTCATAGTTCATCTCTGATGAGGCTTTCAGTATATCATCACAAACACACATACATACATACACACATACACAAATACACACACACATCCACATGCACACCAAACACACACACACACACACATACATACACACAGACACACCACACACACCAGACAAACCACACACACTACACACACACACCACACATACACACACATATATACACACACCACATATACATACACACACCACACACACATACACACACCATACACACACACCACACACATACATACATACACACACCACACATCCACACAACCACACACACATCCACACACACATCCACATGCACACCAAACACACACACACACACCACACACACCAGACAAACCACACACACTACACACACACACCACACATACACACACATATATACACACACCACATATACATACACACACCACACACACATACACACACCATACACACACACCACACACATACATACATACACACACCACACATACACACAACCACACACACATACACACACACCACATACCACACACACCACACACACACACATGCTTTACTGCAACCTAAGTGATTTTTTTCTCTCCTAATCATCACTATTGCCACTCACTGTTGTTCTCTTAGTTTATTTTTTATATTACTGACCAGATGTGTCTATTTATGTTGCCTCAAATCTTTTATGGAGCAAATAAACTAATTAAATGAGTTAAGCTTTATAACACAGTGTAGTGCCTGGCAAGTGGTAAGGAGGCAGAGAAAATGCCAGCTACTGTTTCAGAGAAGAAATAATATGAGTCCTCTCTCACCTTGCTTTAGAGGCTCTGTGAAGATGGACCAGACTTCAGAGACCTCTTCAGACTAAAGGTCACCTCAGTTAACACCCAGTTGGACTGTTTTGAAGGGGAGTGCCTCAATGTTTTTAACACCCACTACCCTGATTTCTTTAATCTTTTCTATACACATTGTGGAACACTTCATGTCGGTATGAGGACATTAGCCAGGTTTGTTTGCTTTTTTGAATTGACTTGGATGCTGTTTAAGCAAGCTTCTAATTGCTTGCTCATACCCAAACATTCTGGGTGTAAAAGCCTGCCTGGGATTAAGGTTTTTTCCATGGATAATCCTCGGGGTGAGAAACCTGTGTCTCCCTGAGAGCCGTCAGCATTTCACTGATTCTGTTTTGCATGGCCAGACAGGGAGGGAATGGTGTCTCTAGAAAATGGGTAGGTAGGGGAAGGGGAGCTGCAGCAGACACACCTGTTTCTCAGTGGGGGTCACCTGCCTTAACTCAAGGGGCACTGGCTCTATCTAGTTCAGTTTCTTTTTTGTTCCTCGGTTTCCCACCGATCTTTTGTTTCCTCCTGGGGGGCGGGGGTAAGAAGGAACTGTGGAGCAAGCCCAGTTTGGGAAAACCCATATTCACTCACCAGTGCTGCATGTGAGATCCTGGAGGTGTGGAGGGTGGACCAAGTCATGCCAGCGTTCCCGAGTGCAATGGGTGGGAACACTGGTGAGAAACTGCTCAATGGATACACGTCATGAAGGGTTCTGTCTCTTCTTTGCTCAGGGAGTCTGCAGGCCTTCCTTGTTTTCTAGTCATCCCTTTGCCTCCCCTCTCCTTTGGGGGAGGGGAGGTCTTCTTTTTCTTTCACGTTTTCAAGGCCTTCCTCTTTGTTTTTATTTAAACAGATTTTTGAAGAAGAAAACAATTTCCTAACTGGTCCCCTCCCCCCATACTTGTTTTTATTTTTAGAGGAGGGGTTTCATATAGCACAGGCTGGCCCTGAATTTGCCAGGCCTGTACCCACCTCCTCCTCTATGACCCCTCCCCAAATTCTTTCCCAGTTACTTACAAGAGAAGAAAAAAGGAGATATCCGGCCCTCTCAGTCTGAGCTATTTGACTTAGAAGACAAAAGACCCTTCAGAATTAAGAGAGGAAGGGGGAAAGGGAAGGGGGGGTTCAGTTAAAAATCATCAGGGTCAAAAACCTGACAGGAAAGCTTTGTTTGAGGGGAATGTGAGGGCAGGGTAGGGTGGAGGAGCTGGCAGTTGGCCCTCAAAAGGCAAATATCTTGAGATGAAGGAAATGTGTAGATCAGTGGGTATTCCCGTTGAAGTCAAGGAGGATTTCTGAGCCTGGTTCCTCTGAGACCAGTGGAGTGTGTTGAGAGCAAAGACTGTGTGGGACGGAAAGGGAAGCAGGAAGCTGCCATTTTAATCCCATGCCACCTCAGATTGTCAAGAGTCTGCAGAGATTCCTGGGGCCTTGAGGGCTGGTTATCTAGCCTACTGTTTGTGGAGAGGGAAAAAAGCCAGTGAGCAGAGCTAAGGTGTGGTTAGGTTTAGGGCTAGGCAGAATACTTGGGCAGAGGGAGATCACTGCCCCCATTGCTGCCGTCAACTGGGATGGGTGAGGTGGGAATGGTGCTGTGGGCAGAGAAGGAAGGAATTCCCTATTCCAAACATTAGCATTTCTAAGACATTGGGCAGACAGGATTCAGGGACGTCCTTTGATTGGATAAAGACAGCAGAGAGTCAAAGGTTATCAAAAATGAGACAGGTTGCCAGGTCTGGTTCACACCCAGCACTTGAGAGGCTGAGCCTGATCAGGAATCCAAGAGGTGGATCAGGAATGTTAGAATAGCTTTTGCTATATACTGAGTTCCAGGTAAGCTAGGGAGAGGTAAAGTAAGACAACCAAAATGAGGAAGTGATCCCATCCCAGAAGGACCCTACACTGCAGGGATCTCTAGAGGGAAGGGGGAGGGAGGGGTACAGGGCTCCAACAGCAGGAGGTCACACTGATGCTGTTCTTCCAGCAGGATCTGCTAAGGGCTTGGCTTGGTCAGTTTAAGAACTATTTGTGGCAAATTTTTAAACCCCAGGCTGCTTTGCCCTAGTACCTGGAATCCAGCCACCAAACGCTATGTCACAAGAGCATATGAACTGATTTTAATGTTAGCCAGAACAAAGTAGAAGACGAATTAGCTTCTGCTTCTCAGCTGCTGTGGCACCACGTTTCCTATGGTTTATTCAGATAACGTGGGGATGTCTTTCTTGTTCTTGCCCTTCTGTCTCTGTCTTGAACCAAAATATAGAAGTCCTTAGCCTCTACCCTGCCTCTTAGAAGTCCCCTAGACAGATATATTGCCAGGGGCAGTCCTGTGACCCACTCGCTGGAACAGACACTGTACAAGGGCATAAATCAAAGGAATCAACACATGATGAGCATGTGGGCATAGGGCGAATGACAATAGACTGGAGAGGAGGGGATCAGCATCTGAGGAGGGCCTTAACTCTTGTGGTGCTGGGGGGAGAGAAACACCGATGGCTTCAGGAAGGGCCACCAGCTCTGTATCCTGTCCTATTACCACTCTGTCAGGCAGGCAAAGGAAAAGGTGTTAGTGACTGGCTTGGGCACAAATGTCTCAGGCACAGACACGCACAGATGCAGTCCTCTCTGGCCCAGCCACCAGCTTTCCACTCTGTCCACTGTGGTGGAGGAAGGCAGGAATGGAAACTGGAGGTCTAATTGCTAGGTCTCTCTCAGCTCTTCCAGGGAGCACAGGGCAGGAAATTCCTCAGATTCCAGGCTTGTAGGATCATTGCTGAGTGTTAACCGCAGAGCTAGGGTAAGAGGCTAGAGGCAAAGGGAACGGCCTCCTCTCCTGCCTCTTTTCCCTTTGTTTTAAAACGGGCTCAATTAAAAGGGTTTAGAGGGGCTGCTGGCTGGAACAAAAGCCCCCACTGTAACAATCCTCCCGGAGAAAAAGTCCCAGGTCTGGGAATCCCAGAAAAATTAGTGCTGAATTGAGTAATTTCAAAGTTGAAAATAGACTGTTGTGGACTTGTGCAGGAATTTGTTCCCAGGGTGAATTTTTTGGTTGTCCCCCCATCCCCACCCCCCAGCTCTCAGTGAGTGGGAAGGAACTGGCATGAGAAGAAGCTCCTAGAGTTCCTTGTAGAGAGAGATAAGGATGGCTGTGTGGAGCCGGCACAAGGGGCGCTTTCTCTGCAGCATTTGCTTCACTCCAACTGGGAACTGGGTTGGGACTCCTCCTCAGTCACTGGGTTACATGTCCTGGGCAGGGCAGCTCAGAGCTCCAGAGCTGTGTCTGCCTTCTGGAGGCATCTTGCAAGCCCTCCAGGGAGTCCTCTCAGTCTCCCAAAGAATAACTGCTTCATCCCCTTGGGCTCCCAGAGCAACTGCTTATCCTTAGGTAGATTCTGTCCCCACTGAACTAGAGTGAGCTGTTTACTGCCCCAGTGCTCTTTGTTCTTTAGGGGACAGAGTATGGTGACTTGGTTGTGTTACTAACCTCATAGCAGAGTGATGATGCAGTGTATGCTACACAGTAAGCCCACAAGAAACAAAACAAAAAACAGAAACAAAACAAAAAAAGTAAAGAAAAAAAAAGCAACCTTGTTGGATGACTGTCCTTGTCCGTGGGGGTTGGAATATTCATTTGGCAAGTCCCTATGATGAATGTTCAATTCATGGTCTGTGTTTTCTTCCAGCTCAGCCCTTTTCACTGTCATGTAACATGTACTCTGAGAAGATAAGAACTCAGGTGTGTGTGTGTGTGTGTGTGTGTGTGTGTGTGTGTGTGTGTGTTATCTTCCCTAGAACATAATAGTTGCTACTAAAAATTCACCACCATCAGGCATGACTCCTGTGCTGCCCACATCTCTGCTGGTATGGCATGAGAGATGGTAGATGATGGATCTGTGTTCCATTATAACTGATGATGGGCTCTGAGGAGGAAGAAGCAGTGGCCCATAGCCACTCTAATTCTTTTGGTTGCTATGGATTCTGAGACTTGGGCTGAGCCTACAGTATTGAGCACCCAGTCTCAACAGCAGCCTCAGAATGAGTAATGTGGACTGGCAGCAAGAAGGCATCTTAACCAAGGCTTCAAACATTGAGTCAACAATGCCATACCCTGAACTGTTCAATTTGCGGATGAGCATATGTGATCTTTTCATTTTTCAGACTGCCATTTCCCCAGTGTGCTCTGAGAGAGAGCAGAAACCACCCTGCTGCTCATGTTAACTTTCTACTGAACCGGTTCACTCTTCTGGTTTGAATATCCAGAGTGTGGATGAGGCATCACCTGTCTAACCTTCTTGAGTTTCCAAAACTCCTAACAGGACAAAGTTGGGCTAGGCAAAGACTTGTTTGTTTGTTTGTTTGTTTGTGACATGGTCTCTCTAGGTACTCTTGACTAGCCTGGATCTCAATATGTTGACCAGGCTGGCCATTAAATCACAAAGACCTGACTGCCTCTGCCTCCCCAGTGCTGGAATTAATCGTGTGTGCTGACAAAGTGATGCTTAGCAGCTGAAGTTCTTTCTAACTGTAACTTTTTGTGTAAGTCTCTGAGTGGAAAGAAAAGTTCATACATTTCTTTTTTCTTTATCTTCTTTTTTTTGATTGAGTACCATTTGCTTCCCATAATAAGTTATATCTGTATGTTTTTATCTTCCTCTAGCAGTATCTTCCTTGAAAAGACCACCAGGTCCCTAGGAATTCTATGACATGACAGTTGTGACGGTAATAAATATATAGGGCTTTCCCTAGCCCCACTGTTAACCTGCAGCTTTCAGGAGAATGCCCTTTGTTACCAGGACGTATGCAGGCTTACATATATGTATGTAAGCAGCTGCAGATGCATATAAAGTGACTCAAGGTGTTAAACACCAGAGAGACAGGAAATAGGATCCGCTATGATGTGGATGACGCTGGTTTGGCTAGGTTTCCTGAAAGAGGTTAAATTCACAGTAAGGCTCAGAGAGGAGCCAACAGTTTTAGGTTGTTGCAGAAGGGGGAGGAAATCACTCCAGGTGTGTGAGTGCCTGTGGCTGGGGTGGGGGTGGGGTGGGGGCTTGGTAAAGCCTTAGGCACCTGGATTCTTAGTGGGCAGCTTCTGTGGTTCTTGAACAGTAAGTCAACTTTACTGCTGCCAGAGAGGCTACGTTCCAATTTCTAGTCACCTGGGGGGAGGAAGGCAAGAATCAAAGAAAATTACAGAGCGGCCATTTTCGCCCAAATGAAGCTAGACGAATGAAGAGATGTGGAAAACTTTATAGATATCCAGAGGAAAGGAATCTCATAGCAGAAACTATGGTGCTGAGTACCTACCCTGTTCCAGGGTGTCAGTTCTGGAAGGGACCTTGGGAAGTGATCTAGTCCCTGAGTTTGAAAACTGAAGACCAGAAAAAAAAGTGTGACCTGTTCAGAGCACACAGCTTACTCTGACCCAGCCTGGCTGGAAGACCTGACTGCTGACTTCCATTCCAGCAAAGATAGCTAAGTGCTACCCAGTGTTTAATATTTGTTCCACAGTGTGTTTTTTCTGTGTGTGTGTGTGTGTGTGTGTGTGTGTGTGTGTGTGTGTGTATCTCCTAGGGTCTTATGTAGCCTTGGCTTCAAACTCATTATGTAGTCAAGGATAACCTGAATTTCTGTTCTGCCTCTATCTCCCAAGAGCTGGGATTAAAGGCATTTGTCAGCACCCAGTTTATGTGGGACTGGAAATGGAGCTTCTGACACATCAGACAAGCACCCTGCCCACTGAGATATGTTCGTAGCCCCACCTACTGTCTTTGGCTCCTGGAGCTGCATTGGGGAGTGACCTTAACATGCCCATGCATCCCTGCTGCAGATGTGCTGCCTCCTAAAAGCCAGGACTTGCCCCCGATCTTTGCTTCCCGCCAAAACTGAAGGCCCCGAGAAAAGGTAAACTGCTCCTACAATCTTAGACCAGGTGAGACAGTTCAGTAACTTGATGGAAGGGAGGCTGAGGGCCAAGGTTCAGGCAGGCTCTCCTGGGCTACTGCTCTCCCACGCAGCCACCGCGTTTATTACACTCCTTGTGTGAGGGATTCTATAGGACTTTCTGCTGAAGTGATGTGGACCTAGCTGGTTTCCGGCCTGCTCCTTCCCAGGATCCCTGATCTATATATGCTCAGTGTGGGTCAAGTGAGGAAAGATCCTGAGCCCAGAATGGGAGGGACAGAGAGGAGCCAGTTTTGCTCACTCAATGATAGGGTTCTCAGGTGTCTTCTAAAGTTCTTTTTGGTTTGGCCTGCAGCCATGAAGTGTTCCACCCAGTAGCAAAGTTCCTGGCCTGGAAGGTCGTGCCATTTCCCTTTGATCTTGGAAAGGGCAAAAGCGCAAGTTGTGTCCACAGCAATTCCTTCTATAGTCCAGCTGTCCTTTGGGATGCTGGGGAGTGTGGGAGAGTGCTGGCTCCATGGGCTGTGCCATTCTTTGCCATTTTGTTTTGAGAAAGACCTTCTGTACCGTCCTGTTAAAGCAAATCTGTTGTTTTAGATATGCGCAATATGTTTCATTTGGCAGACATCCGTAGAGTGCCAGGTATGGTTAGGTGCTGAGGAAACAGATGAGTGCAATGTGCTTACTGGATTCCCAGGAGCTCAAGGTTAAGTAAGTTTTTAAGACCAACATCATTCATAGTAAATACAGCAAAGAGATTGCATACATAGAAAGACACTTTAGGGCAGAGGACAGGAGGCATAATAATGAGAATGTTTTGCCCACCAGACAGGGCTATCAATTGTCCCTTCTTTGACTAGCAGACAGTTTGGCAGGATACAGAGAGCAGAGCAGAAGAATCATGAGACTTGGTTGCCTTCTCCCATCGGCAATAGGTACTCCCTGTGGACTGTATTAGTTACTCTTCCATTGCTATGACAAAACACCATGACCGTGGCTACTTATGAAAGAACGGGTTTAAATGGGCTTCCAGAAAGTAAGAGTCTGTGATGGTGGAGTGAAGGCAAAGAGACAGGTAGCTGGAGCAGCAGCTGAGAGCTCACATCTTCATCCATAAGTAGGAGGCAGAGGGGGAACACTGGGAATGGCTTGAGTATTTTGAAACCTCAAAGCCC